TCGACTATTCGACTATTGTTTTCAGTGTCGACTAGTAGGAGCTGTACCGTTTAGTCAACTAGATCCGCACATCCCTAATATATATATATATATATATATATTATTATTTTTATTATTATTATTATATACTAATATTTGTTGTTGTTTTTTTCTGTAGGCTATTCCTTTTCCCCTCTTTATTTACTACTTGCATTTGATGGCATTTCTTTAAATGCTTAAATTTGTCTTATTTAAATTGCAAAATATGATTGAAATGTGTGGTTTTCTCACATAATTGGGATAAGATCAAATAACCACGATCTGATGAAAAATCAATAATCACGACAGGACTAACTCAGAACCCCTTGACAGCCGCTTAGCAACTGCTCGGAACACCTTAGCAACCAATCCACCTATCAGGACCCTAGCATCACGTAGCAATGCCATTATCTATTGTCTGTCTTTCTCACTCTAAGGCATATACCTTCAAACTTTAACAACTTTCCAGCAAGACTTTGGGCCAAGAATCTTGTCTTGATGAGCTTCCTTTCCTACTTAATAGATTGTGTTTTTTATTAGATATATTTAAGTCTCATTTAATTAACTAATCAAGCAGCTCTTGGCCAGAGAGACAGAATTTTAATTATGCTCCGATGGCAGTTTTATTAAAGATGTACAACCTCGTGCTTTGCTGAACCGGCATGTGTGTAAAGCTTTGATTGTTTCTGGAGCTCTGGATAGTTTTCTGACTAGTCCTCACCTTCCACGTCATCTCATCTTCATTCACATCTCCTCTCTGCTTTGCTCTTCTCCTGCTTGTTCTATCTTTTGAGAGCTGCATTACTGCCGTGTTGGCACTGTTTAGTTCCCAGGAACAAATGTCAGCGGCTGCAGGGAACGTTGACAAGCCTGTCCGCTTTAGCTGCTTTGTAATCTTTTGCTCTTGAGGCCTGTATTATTAGGGCATAGAGTATGACAGCACCCTTATCAGATTGCATGGCTGTTTGCTCTCAGTGGAAGCCCCTGTTGTTTGAAGTGAGTCACCCTTTGTGGTCGGCAATGTGATGCTTTAGCAAGTAAAACTTCTGTGTGGATTTCACATTTGAAATGTTACAGAGCTTTGTTCATTTGCGCCTTTTAGCGTGTATAACCGTGTTGCATGTAAGTATTGACTATTAGTCGGAAATTACTTTGGGATAAATCCCATGAAACCTGTCAAGAACAAATCCAGATCATATTTTGACCCAAAATCAAAAGAATGAAATGAGTCGGAGTGATTATTGTTGCACTGCTTTACATTATTTTGATAATCAGCATAGATGCTTGCACTACAGTAGGTTTTTACATTTTATTAATGTGGGTTATCGTAATGAGAAATCGTCATGAAAGTAGTGTCACAATGCAAAAAAAAGATCCAGATAATAAGAAAGACGTTAAAGAACATGTACACAACGAGCACTTTTGTGTTTTCTAGGCCAATTTATACAGATGGAACCTCACAGATCAGCAAAGTTCTGCACTAGAGGACAGTGATTTTTGTTTTGGCCCCAAACTGACTCATTGTGAAGTGTCCCTAGTTTGAAGCCCAACTGGAATGTTTAGTTTTAGTGAATCCAGATCCTCACATATGCACACATAATCATGTTTTCCAGCATTCATCTCAAGCCTATGTTTAGTGGATGGTCTGTTTAAAGTTATTCTCACAGACTATGGTGTATTAGATTAGATTCAACAGTATTGTCACTGTGCAGAGTACAAGTACAGAGCCAATGAAATGCAGTTAGCATCTAACCAGAAGTGCAAATAACAGAGTATATAAATAAATATAGATTGTGTATATACATTAAGCTTTATGACATGTAGTGCAAGTTATGAGATAGGAGGGCAGAGACCAACTCAATGCAAATGACTGTACATACAACATAGGGTGCAAGGAAAGTATAAACAGAAGGAGTATTATACAGTGAGTATAAACAGAAGGTGCATTATACAGTGAGGTACGTAAATAGCATATGTTTATATATGGCCAATTACCAAAACAGTGCAAACGGTATCCGGAGGTAGAAATGTGCAAGGGAATGTGCAGAATATCAGAGAAATGTGCAGACAGGTTAATGTTCTAAACAATTTATTTATTTATTTTTATTTTTTTAAGTTAAGCATTAGGTGGTCCATCTAGGATGTAGTGTTCAGCGCCTGAGATTGGAGTTCAGTAGGCTGACCGCTGAGGGAAAGAAACTGTTCCTGAGTCTGCTGTTGCGACAGCGAAGACTCCTATAACATCTCCCCAATGGGAGAGGAGTGAACAGTCTGTGATTGGGGTGAGAGGAGTCTTTGATGATGCTTCTCACTCTCCTTAGGCAGCGTTTGTGGTAAACGTCTTTGATGGAGGGTAGCCCAACACCAGTGGTGTATTGGCCAGTTTTCACCACCCGCTGGAGGGCTTTCTGGTATTTTGGCAAAGAATTTCCCACTTAGACAGGAAGTGGCCATTTGACTGACATTTTATGCAACCAGTCAGTTAACTTTTTCCCCACAACGTATATTTGAAGAGTTCAGTTGCAAAAGGCTTTAGGTGCCATCTGATTTTCTCATTTCTCATCTCATTTTTATCAGGCTCTTATGTTTAGGTTCAGTAATTTTACTTTAATGGCAATGTATATGTCCTTTTCTATGCCATTAAAGTAAAATAAATTAACATAAATATAGGAGCCTGATAAAAATGCAAATTTTAGATGAAAATTTCAGACGGCACTTAGAGGCTTTTGCATCTGAACTCTTTATCTGTCTTGTTCGCAAACCGTCGCGTCAGCGAGGTGAGTTCATGTTCAGTGTAATGGCTCTTTTCCTGTGCGCAGTATTACCAATGTTGTTTACCATAATTGATCTGTTTAACAGAGACACATGATACGTTTCAATGGTAGGATGCTTGTGACCGAAGAACACAGAGTTAACGTATTAAGACGCCGTCAAGCTTCACATACTGTAAGCTGGTCCTGTGTACTTGTAGGGCTCTCAGGTCTTATAAATATGTTAAGTCACTCAAGAGGAAATTAGTACACTGCTGCAGGATACCACTGATTCAGTACAGATTAGAAAACCATTTCCTGTTTATAGTGTCAACTATTTTAGCATTCATTCCCTGGCATGAGATGTGTTAGATGTCCTAAGGTAACAACATACAGTGTCCATATGTTGTTTTTCAGTGATTTTATTAGGCAGATAGGAAGCTTTCTAATCTAAGGATATGACGAGAGCGAGATAGCCTTTGCCCTTGGGTCACACAGGGCTCTTCATACTTGCCCGTATTGTATTTTACATTATACAGACATTGACAGTACAGTCAGGTTCAAGTACAGGTTCTTTATTGGCATCTATGGTTCCATGAAGGACCTTTCTATTGCACAAAAGGTTCTTTATGTTCTTCACACTAATCAAAGACGGTTCTTTTAAGAACTGTTCGCTGAAAGGTTCTTTGGAGAACCCATAATGGTTCTTTAATAGCATCGCTGTGAAAACTCCTTTTTGTAACCTTTATAAGAGTGTAAGCTGTAAAGTAACTGTAGGTTTTCTTTGGATGTGTTTGAATGATATTACGATCTAACAGAGAATCTAAAAAGCTCTTGTTAGCATAAACATCCATCAACACAACAGTTTCCTCACCCATTATAAAAGGCTGGAATCTGCAACCTTATATGGAACAGAACTTGCATTTGTGCCTAAATGAACATGGAAAGCATGCAGTGCAACACGGTACTGCTGGTGAGTATGAATGACTGTTTGACTGAGACAGTCGTTGTTGTCCTGTTGGAGAAGGGCTCTATGGGAGCATTTACAGTGCATTACTCCAGAGGACTGAAGCAACATTCACAGACAAGACTTGAGACTCTGATTAGGGACTTTGTGTAATCCATTTAGTTAAGTCAATGGACAAGACCCTCAGTAATATGACGCACAGACCTCTGGGAACACAGATTCCCTCTAGTGCCGAACCCTGGTGGCTTACTTGCATTGTCTGTGGGTTGTTCAGAAGTAACATGAACGTATTGATGGATCTGTTTTTTTATGGTAAAATGTACATGAAGGTGTATATCTTTAAATGCTGTTCATTTAAATAGAGCATATACTGTAGTCTCTCTATTATAATGCATCCATTTTCTTTCTTTCTTGAAAAGGGAGAATCTTGGTCAGTCTGTGCTATTTTCTGTAGAATGAAAACTGGTGATTTTTAGTGCAAAGCTCCAAGATGTTTTTCTTAAATTGACATGTGATAATTAGATGAGGGTGAGTGAAATATCCCTTTAAATATGCAATGCATTTATATACAGTAGTCATATTTTGTGTTTAGCACATTTGATAGGGACTCTAAGGTGTGTATGTGTATGTATGTACCTTAACTGAGTCTACAGATTCGGTCGAGCAGGAGTGGAGTGTTACTGCCGGCATGAAAGTGGATCGGCTGTCATCCAGCTGGAGTTTCTTGTCAATGAAGTAAGTTCTGCCCTGACTTCCTGTATAGTCATTTCCTATTCCTCCAGGTTGTATCCCTCTTCCAATCGTGACATTGCCTGTACCTTTTGGTTGAATATTTAGTCTTTTAATCTGTTCAAAATGTAATGAATTACAAATAGTGGTCGACCGATATGGGAAAATAAAAGTCCTGCCTCGAACACATCGGCCAAACAGAAAAACTTATCGGCCAATGCCGATATTTGAAAATGCCAAATATCGGCCGATATATCGGCCATGGCGATATATATAGGTCAACCACTAATTACAAATGTACTGCTCTCTTATTTCAGTCATTTTTTGTGTGTTTGGTCCATAGGGGGCGCTGGTCAGTGCTTTGGCAGATGACAGTATTCATTTGTGGAATCTGAGGCAAAAACTTCCAGCCATCCTTCATTCTCTTAAATTTAATCGGGAGAGGTAAGCATCCTGTGGACAAATAAACCATGCACAACTGTTGTGATATGCTTATGGTGATTATCAAAATGGAGAAGAAAAAAAATATATATATATACAGTGGGTACGGAAAGTATTCAGACCCCCTTAAATTTTTCACTCTTTGTTATATTGCAGCCATTTGCTAAAATCCTTTAAGTTAATTTTTTTCCTCATTAATGTACACACAGCACCCCATATTGACAGAAAAACACAGAATTGTTGACATTTTTGCAGATTTATTAAAAAAGAAAAACTGAAATATCACATGGTCCTAAGTATTCAGACCCTTTGCTCAGTATTTAGTAGAAGCACCAAACACAACTGGACTCAAATGAAGGTGTAGAACCATCTCAAGGATGATCAGAAGAAATGGACAGCACCTGAGTTAAATATATGAGTGTCACAGCAAAGGGTCTGAATACTTAGGACCATGTGATATTTCAGTTTTTCTTTTTTAATAAATCAGCAAAAATGTCAACAATTCTGTGTTTTTCTGTCAATATGGGGTGCTGTGTGTACATTAATGAGGAAAAAAATTTACTTAAATGATAAATAAATTTAGCAAATGGCTGCAATATAACAAAGAGTGAAAAATTTAAGGGGGTCTGAATACTTTCCGTACCCACTGTATATTTATATATATATATATCAACTGCTCTGAGAATGGGTCACTTTTACATGCATTTGGGAGCACAACATTCACCAAACGTCTTTCCCTTACTTGATGAGAAGCACTTTAAGGGCTTCCTGCAGTTTTGTGGCTGCAAGGTTTGCACAGGCAAACACCACTTACATTTTCTTTAGAAAATACTAAATTTGGCCTTTAGCTGGGCCTTCAAAGTTTTTGTCTTTTTTAAGTAGCAATGCACTTTTGAGTTTCTACATTTTCTGTTAATCAACAGACCACGAAGGCTTGAAATGAATGTTTGTTCAGAGACAAGAGGGCAGGACAATGTTCTCAAGTGTCCTCAAATGCATATAGTCTTGATTGGTGTCCCATTCAGAAGACACACTAAGACTGTGCATTAAGACACAGTAATGCACAGTCGTCCACTGTAATACCAGTTGATTTATCAACCGTGACTCATTCATTTTGCCAGATTTCGCTCTGCTGTTATTGCCATTTCATCCTTAATGTGTCACGAGGCACAAATCAATCAAATGCTCGCCATCGTATGAGATAATCACAGGGAATATTTCACTTTGATTAAGGTCAGCTTTCTCCTTTTCTTTGGCAGGATCACGTTTTGCCATTTGCCATTTCAGAGTAAATGGCTGTACGTGGGCACGGAAAGAGGGAACATTCACATTGTCAATGTGGAGTCCTTCACCCTCTCAGGCTATGTGATCATGTGGAACAAAGCCATTGAACTGTGAGTGTCTAGACACCATGAACTCCAGTGATTCTCGTGTGTTTTCTTCTACTGTTGGCTTTCGGAGATTTTAATTAAAGGTCTTACGTACAAATATTTACTCAAGGTCATCATGCATGAACTCTGCATACCACCTTGGAATATTTTCTGCGCAAACTCTCACCTCTCTTCAACAGTTCCTCAAAGACTCACCCTGGACCTGTAGTTCATATCAGCGATAACCCTATGGACGAAGGGAAAGTACGAAATCTTAACACTTTGGGATTAAATATATTCCCACAATACACTTTCTGATTGCTCTGCTTTTCAGTTTGCATAATTTCAGAAAAGTTGTTTCTCTTTTTTTCAGCTTTTAATTGGTTTTGAGTGTGGCATAGTTGTGCTTTGGGACTTGAAATCGAAGAAGGCTGACTACCGATACAACTATGATGAGGTGAGGCTATGTTATTGTAGGATATGGACCAGTCATCCTAACTGGATGTCACATTTTCGAGGTCTAGGTCTTTTTTAAATTTCAGACAAACTTAGAGCATTGTTTAAAGCAAAGCTTATTACTTTTGTTCCTTAACATCATTGAATGGAAGGAAGGAAGGTCTCCAGTAGAGATGGGATGTACTCCAAGTACTCAGATGAGACAGTAGTGATTGATCACGAAAACACAACAATAATTGCATGTTATTCTCTTTTAATACAGTAAACTTTACTTTAAAATTCATTGACAGCTGTACATCTCCAGTCAACCTTCCATTCACATGTTTAATTTTAGTATTAGTTATGACATTTTTGGTGGTAGCTTGCTGTTCACATCATAAGACAGTAAATTACACATTAAAAGTTACAAGATAGGGAAAACATTTTCACTCAGAAATTGATAGTAGATTTCACAATTAATTATTAAGAAAATCAAGTAACACATTGAATTAAATGTGAAATTTTGAAGTAGAAAGACTGAAATAGTATTTTCTTGGTTTTTCTATTTGAAAATGAAAGAATTAAGGTGAATATTAACATTGTAATTTTACAGTTGTAATGTAAAATAAAATAATAATATTTTTTTTTAAATAAATTTTAGTAATTTTTATATTTTTATTTAGCAAAAAATAAAAGTACTACTACTACTACTATTAAAAATAATAACTGATATGTGACCCTGGACCACAAAACCAGTCATAAGGGTCCATTTGTTTGGCCGAGATACAACTATTTGAAAATCTGGAATCTGAGGGTGTAAAAAATCAAATCAAAATACTGAGAAAATCGTCTTTAAAGTTGTCCAAATGAAGTTCTTAGCAATGCCTATTACTAATCAAAAATTAAGTTTTAATATATTTACAGTAGAAAATTTACAAAATATCTTCATGGAACATGATCTTTACTTAATATCCTAATGATTTTTGGCATAAAAGAAAAATCAATAATTTTGACCCATACAATGTATTTTTGGCTATTGCTGAAAATATACCCCAGCGACTTAACACTGGCTTTGTGGTCCAGGGTCACATATTGTTATTATTTTAAAGCCATATTGATAATCACAAAAATTCTAAATAGTATTTTCTTGTAAAATATACACCAATAAACTTTGTTTTATTTTCAACATCAAAAAAAAAATAAAAATACATTTACAATGTATATGGTGACTTACATGTGCCAAAATGGACATATCACTTGATTTATTTATGGAGTACACAAATAAACAACTCTAGTCTAAAGGAAGTAACTTTTTTCAGAAGCCCTTGTGTTATCTATGAGGAACGGAACTAAGTTGTTTGTTATGTTTTTGTTGACTCATATTTACTGTCACAAAACATGAACCGTAGCTTGCCTGACCTGGTTTCTCTTGTGGTTGATTACTCATCCTTTGTTTGGCCCTTAGGCGATCCACTCTGTGGCTTGGCATCACGAGGGGAAACAGTTTGTGTGCAGTCACTCTGATGGCACGCTTACCACATGGAATATACGCGCTCCTGCCAAGCCTGCTCAGATCATTACACCGCATGGTAAGCTTCTGCCCAAACAAACTCCCTTCCAAGTTCCTCAGGTTGAGCGCTCCAGGGAGCACAGAATAAATATCAAAAGACCGTAGTAGAGGTGAAATTTGTCATTTGAGTTCCGTTAGCAGCACCAGTGAAATAAAAATTATTGTTTCCAAACAGGTTTCTGAAAAAGATCAATGTTTTTAACGAGTCATTATAATTTCAGGCAATCAGCCTATGGATGATTACTTATGGACCCTTTTTTCACAGACTGTGACGACACGTTTCCACTGTTATTAACATTTTAAAATCTAGCAAAGTTTTGTGTATTTCCATTAAAAATCAATCAATAAATAAAAAATTATAATTTGTGTTTCATTACCTTGGCATTAAATTACACAAAACCGGTTAATTCTAAATAACTGTGTGAGTGTTTCTAACACAACGGCTAAAGGGAGTGACTCTTCTCTGACCAATGTTATTAATCTCTCTATATTTTTTCCTCATTTGTAAAGTCATAGAAATGCTATCATGGATTTTTGCTATTAGTGCTAATGGGAGAGCAAAAATTATGTTTTTTGTTGTTGTTCACCACTATAGAAGTTTACCCAACTATGACAACTTCTTCTTCTGAAAACCCTGGAAATGTGAAAAGGGTCCATAGTTTTCACTGCACATTAAACAGGGAAGAGGAATGTGTTTCAACCTCCAAAAAATTACAAACTTCAGCTTTAATAATGCAGGTTTTTTTCCACTAAAAACATCATATACTTAAGGCTGAAGCAAAGCAACCCTTTTACAAATGCATCATGATTCTTAAACAAAAATGCAGACTCTGTCCACAGAAATTTATCATCAACATTTTTATCATCAAAGTTATTTTTAAAATGAGTAATAGATGCATCGAAAATGGTTTTGGAATCAAATTATGACTCCATGGATTAAAATCAAACCATGAGATGCCTAAAGACTTCTACCCCCAATTTATTTATTCTTAAACAAAAATGCAGACTCTGTCCACAGAAATTTATCATCAACATTTTTATAAGTAATAGATGCATCGAAAATGGTTTTGGAATCAAATTATGACTCCATGGATTAAAATCAAGCCATGAGATGCCTAAAGACTTCTACCCCCAATTTATTTTGGTTCCTATGATAAAAATACACCGATACTGGCGATAGAAAAGGAAATAAAAATATTTGCACACCTTGTTTAACATGCAATATTCTCTCCCAGGTAAACAGCCTAAGGATGGAAAGAAGCCGGAGCCATGCAAACCCATCTTGAAAGTGGAGTACAAAACTACCAGGGCAGGGTAAGGCTTCAGTGGAAGCTGAACTCAGGGTCGCGTTCTTGAAGCAAACAGAGCATGATGCATTACACACGTTGCATTGCAAGAGACTGTCTGGCAGAGGTGCTCCGGTTTTATGGTTTTAAGGAGATGACCTGATGTTTTTCAGAAGACTGACATGAAATATAAAACTAATTGCACAATACGTTTTCTCATGATGCATTGGTTTGAGACTTGTGCAACCTCACATTGCGAGAGACTGTCTGGCATAGATACTTCTGTTTTATGGGTTTTATAGGGATGACATGATGTTTTTCAGAAGACTGACATAGATACAGCTAATATGACAATACATTTTGTATTGCTTTTAATCATATTCTTCATTCCACTCTTTCTGAATGAAGCACTAATTTGTTTCACTTCCGGCTTGGCTTCTCTTTGCATCATGGAAAAATTAGATTTGTTCATTTGTTTTGTTAAGGGACCCATTCATGGTACTGTGTGGAGGTTTGTCATATGATACAGTGGGTAGGCGAGCCTGTCTGACTGTGATGCATGGGAAAAGCACTGCAGTGCTGGAGATGGACTACCCCATAGTGGATTTCCTTACGCTGTGTGAAACCCCATATCCAAACGGCAAGTCACTGCCCCACCTATCGCTGGATTTTCTCCCATAACGTTTACTGTATATTTCACAGTGCCTTTACAAACAGAGTCAAAATACAATTAAAGAAAACAAAGCAGCATTGATTTACATTTTTTTAAGTTATTTTCGTATATATCATCAGATTTTTTCTTTTGTATTATTATTTATATTATTTAATGATTTTTATTTTGTAGTGAAAACTTTACAAATTAGAACTAGACTAAGATCTATATGTCGGGCTGGGCGATATAATGGAAAAAAATATTTTAGACTCTTTTTCATCAAATGAATCATATACAGGATATATGTGATTCATGATGATTTATTATAATTAAATGTTATATACATTTATATTATTTATATATGCTTTTCTATGACATGTGTTTGTTATTTATATTTATTTATTTCTGTAGTTAAATCTTGACAAATTCAAACTAGACAGTGTGCTCTATGTTGGGCAATGTAATGGGGGGAAAAAAGACTTTAGATTTCTTTTCTTTTAACGAACAATAATTTTTAGACCAGAAAGTCATTGCAAAGTAGATAATTTATGCAAGAACAAAAATAAAAATCTAGTTATGAAAAGCATTTATCAAAAAATGTTTTCACTAGATAAGTAAGAAAAATAAATGGTATATTATGTTTAAAATAATTGTTCCGTCTGTATCCCCACAGATTTCCAGGAGCCTTATGCGGTTGTTGTCCTGCTGGAGAAGGATTTGGTTGTCATTGACCTTGCACAAATTGGGTGAGTAAATGCCAAATGTGAAACAGGCTGTCTTTGCTTGTGCAGCTGTTTTATAAAAAGCTCTCTGTACAGGTATCCTATCTTCGAGAATCCTTATCCTCTGTCCATCCACGAGTCTCCGGTGACCTGCTGCGAATATTTTGCGGACTGTCCAGCTGAAGTCATTCCTGCACTTTACTCAGTGGGGTCCCGACAGAACAGACAAGGGTTCAGTAAGAAGGTAACATTTTGCCCTCCTCTGTTTAAGAAAATGCATAGGCCTAAAACGGCTGGTCCAAATCTGTGTTTTTATGCAGGAATGGCCCATAAGTGGAGGTAACTGGGGCCAGGGAACACTAAGTTTCTCAGAGATGATCATCACTGGGTAAGCAATCTCTCGCATACACGCTCTGTTTGCTGTACTGAAGCCTTTTCACGTTTAATATTTGGATTAGAGAGGGAAATAGTTTTTTGGTATTAGAAGGAAAAATGGTTTTCGGTTTGGAGCCAGGGCTGTTATTGTTTTCTTCTGTTTTCTTCTTGAAACAACAGGCATGCTGATGGATCGATCAAGTTTTGGGATGCCTCAGCATGTGAGTTTCTGTCTCGGAAAACATACTTTTATGTTTTATGTCACAAGTAGAATCTACAGCATTATTTTGAGTTGGAAAAATAGTAATAATCAGATAAATATGTTGGCCAGTTTGATTTTTGCTTTCAGGTACCAATAAGAGTAAAAGCACTCTCAGCTACATTTAAGACATTTTTACAGATTTTGCAGATTTCTCTATACGATATGTAAATCAGAAAATGCAGTTGAAGTTTGCAAGTTCCGTCTGCAAATAAAAAACATTTAGCAACAACTAATGAAGATAACTGAAAATGAATATGTTCTTTTGTGTCTGTCAGTAATGCTGCAGGTTTTGTATAAGCTGAAAACAGCAAAGGTGTTTGAGAAGCCCCGCGGTAAAGAGGAGAAATCCAGCACTGAAATTGTGGATGAAGATCCGTTCGCCATTCAGATCCTGTCCTGGTGTCCAGAGAGCCGTGTGCTCTGTGTGGCTGGAGTATCGGCTCATGTCATAGTGTACAGGTTCAGCAAACAGGAAGTCACCACTGAAGTGGTTCAGGTCTGACCCATTTAAATGCAGGATGTATACATGTGTAGATATTAGTTTAAAATGGATAGATTTGTCTATGAGAGATTTCAGATGCTGCTGGTCAGCATTTGATTTACATTCTTTACCACTTTTAATCATGAGTTCATTTTAAATGGTCCTGCTATATGACAAATGTTTAATATTAATATGAGGTTGCAAAAAACTGCATGGTGATTATAATGCAATTAGAAAAATGTTGTTTAAAGCCGTTTTAGATGGAGTTTAGTATGCACACTGCAGGATATTTCATTAAACATTAAGTTGTTTTGACACATGGTTTCCAACAGTTAGACTTCCATATGCTGCATCCACACAAATGAGTAAAGCTCTCACTTATTTATGTTTAAAACCTTGTTTTTTAATGAGGAGGTGTCACACCGCAGGACTGAATAAATCAACATGGAGTAGCTCCACACAGTAGCTCCACATAAATATTACAAATATAATTAATAGCGGATAAAACTCTTCTTTATACTTACAAGCCTGGAAAAAATCTTCCTTCCAGGGTCCTGATTTGCGATATTATATAATATTAAGGCTCCCCAAGAGATTTCTCAATTAGAAATGAATGTCGTGAGTCACTTTACAAGAGAAATATGTGTATAAAACTACAATAATGTTGTTTATATTTGGTAACAGTGGAATGTTGATAACTGTTGATAACAGTGTCACCATATGCAGTTCAACTTAATGTTCCTCCTATATATTTCCTTTTATGCCAGATATTCCTTTGTTTGTCCCTCTGTTTCTTTTTCTTAATTTTGAATTTTCTTATTTTTTTCTTTTTACAGAATTTAAATATATATATATATTATAGATGCTAAAGTATTAAATTATTTGCATAGATAATTTTGTTTATGGACAAAATGTGTGTTCTTTTCTTTCCAGATAAATAATGATTTTAGCAAATGGCTGCAATATAACAAAGAGTGAAAAATTTAAGGGGGTCTGAATACTTTCCGTACCCACTGTATAACAGAAAAATTAATTGGCACTTTTCTATGAGCAGAGTCAAATTAATTGTCATGTCAACTCATGGACATTTAATTTATTTTTTTTGGGCTGTGAAATTCATGGAAATCTGTATCTCCATCTATGGGCATATGGATCTGTGAACATGCATATGTTTGTATAGAGTTGATGACAGTTGTCTTGTGTCTGTAGCTCCTGGAGGTGCGTATGCAGTGTGAGCTGACTGAAGTGGAGTCTCCCGAGTGCGGAGGTGAGCCGGCGTCGACTGTGTCCACCCCAGGAACCTCATCCAGCCCTCAGACCAGCCTGCCTCAGTCCCACCCCTCCACCAGCAGCAACAACTCGTCTGACGGCCTGCGAGATAACGTGCCCTGTCTCAAGTACAGTCTGTTTTCATTTATTTCAGATTTACTCACCTCTAAGCAGCATGCAAAAACAACACAACTAAAACTTCAGACTTTGATCGCTTCACATGTTGATGAAATGGTCTTTTCCTGTGTAAGTTCACAGGTTTGGGCCATAAATTTGGCAATGTGGACCAGATTTTTGCTTAAATGTCTGGCTGTTTGACCTCATGATTTGGTCTGTGCTTATGATAGCATGTAGTTAATTGGGTCCTGTGTCTTATTTGGCCAGGGTCAGGAGTTCTCCTCTCAAACAGTCTGCGGGTTACCAGGTGGAGCTGCTCATTCAGCTGGTGTGGGTCAGTGGGGAGCCGCCACAACCGATCACGAGCCTGGCCGTCAACTCTGCATATGGCCTGTAAGTCCACGAAACGACAGCACAAACTACTGATGTTTTAACTGAGCAATTAAAAACACTTCCTTTCCACAACAGCTGTTCATTATCTTTCAGACACGTGTTATCTGTCATGATCCTTCATATTAAAACCTAGCAGCCATGCTTGAATAATTGTTCTTCATTACAATAATAAAAAATTTGATCTACTCAAACACTATTGAAATGCACAAATGTAATTAGCCACAATATGCTCTTATATCTGATTACCATAAACTCATGTGTTGCTGAATTTAAAGTTGAATATTTTCAGGTAGCAGATTTAAGGGTGGAGATTTCAGTTTAATATCTGGTGTGTCCTGGAGCCTTGAGTAGAAATAGTGATTAAATCAATGCTGTGCAAATGTTGTAAAGCAAACTGTAAAAGCTAAGAAAAAGCAGTTTACTTTTTAGTTATAGATGCTTAAGGGCATTTTTTTCTTGCCTTTATTTATAGGCAATTTTATTTTCAATTAAATGTTGACATTTAACTTCTTAAGTAATTCACCGCTGGTGGATATATTACGCAGCAAAAACGGTTTTCAACATTGATAATAATAATAATAATGTTTCTTGAGCAGCAAATCAGCATATTAGAATGATTTCTGAAAGAATCATGTGACACTGAAGACTGGAGTAATTATGCTGAAGATTCATTTGATTACATTTTAAAACATATTGCAACAGAAAACAGTTATTTTAATTTTAAATTGTAACAATATTTCACAATATTACTGTTTTTACTGTATTTTTGATCAAATAAATGCAGCCTTGGTGAGCAGAAGAAACTTCTTTCAAAAACATCATAAAAAATCTTTAATGATTCCAAATCTTAATTTAATAAATCTTAATGTTTCCAAACTTTTGACCGGTAGTGTGTATCTGTTGTGTGTTTTACAGAGTTGCTTTTGGCAATGGTAACGGACTTGCAGTGGTTGATTACCTTCAGAAAACTCTGCTTCTGAACGTGAGCACCGCTGAGCTGTATGGCTCAACAGATCCTCACCACAGACAACCACACTCGCCCCGCAAAACCAGACAGCCCTCGGCAGGTGAACAGACAACAAAGAGAAAGCTTCATCTTCTTACTAATAATCATAACCTCTGCATGTTGTCAGTCTGTGTTTCTGTCTGATAAAGTAAAGCACATGCTCATCATGAGCAGTGTCAGTCTACGGACCGTGATGCTCCTGCATCTCTGGCCGAGGAACCATCTGCAGCGATCTTAGAAAATCATCCGATCCATATACTCCAAAAGGGGTGCTGGTGTTTGTTCTTTTCTGTCCCATGTCTTTGCTTGTTCTTTTTGTTGTTCACTCATATGAGTTTCAGTCTTTGAAATACACAGATGCCAACAGATTGAATTTAAGGCCATGTGACATTATTGTTAGGGATGCACTGATATAAAAAATCTGACCAATACCAATTTTAAGTGGTGTTTGAAAAGGCATTTTATTCATACGTTAAATTTGAATGTACAGTAAACAATATTTGAACTTCTAATACTTTGCATTGCTATGCATTTATTGTCAATTATTCTTTATTATTTTTAGACCTCGCTCGATTATTGAAAATAATAAAGTGGAAAAAATGTCCTGAATTCAGTCTCTGGACTCTGTCAGTTCAAAGGCCTTCTAGTTGTTCATTTGATTTTGTGTCATTGTTTTGTCTCACCCTTTCAATATTCGTCTCTCTCTGTGGTTTCGTAAAGACACTCTGCATAAGAAGTCTTGCATGTCCGGCCTCTCTAACTTTTATTCTGAATCTGTGAAAAAGCTTCGTTCTTCTTTCCTCAGTAAGTCACATGGCACTCATCAAAGGTCTTGTCCTTCTCTTTATATCTGTCTGCATTCTTCTTTTTCTCTTTGTTTAACAC